TATGTGAGTTATTAAGCTTAGATTTTCCATCACTTTTAAATGATTGAAATTAAATGTCAAGAAATCGAGTAAAAATGTTAAGCTTTTCACTCAAACAAATAAACACTTTCGATTTTTTAAAAACAAAAGTTGTAAAAAATCACAATTTTAAGGGTGTTGTTATAACCATTCTTATTTTGGCTATATCTACTACATTAATGTTAAAATTAACAATTTTAATCCTAAGAATACAAAAAAGAGAGAGAAAATTTTGATGCAAGACCACTTTTAAGAGTAGAAGTGTCCATTTAATATACAAGGAGTAGATATATCGAAAATGGGTATAGATATAGCAACACCCTAATTTCAATCACATATATATATATATATGAGATTGAAGTATATACATATATTTTGTCTACAGTTTTTATATGAAATAAAAGTCTATGCTTCCCTTACAAACTTATTTATATGAATCTTTGAGAGATTTTTAAAAAATGAGTTTCGTTTGAACCGTACGCAACATATGTGTCAATTGACATTTTTATCTATATTCACTATTCTGAACTGTTAATACTTTCATTCTTTTGCTATGTTACAAATTTCACATTAATTATGATATTGGGTACATTTGAAAGTCATAGCTACCGACTACAGTGTTACGTTCGACTCCATGCATCGTACCCTAGTCCCCTTTATTTGTGTGACAATTTAGTGTAAGATTTTTCTTTTTTGATGACAATGTATTATAAAGAAAAGGCTAATTTGAGAAAATCTAATCGAATGGAGCATGGAATGACTCGGGGGCGTCCTAGTGTCACGTTCGTAAAATTGACGGTTCCTACCCCTCTAATCCCCCTCTAACTCCTCACCCCGCGCCCACCAAACACACCCCCAGTCCACAAGTTTATTTTGACTTTGAAGTCAAAATTTGACTTCAAAGTCAAAATTATTAACTTGTGGGGTGTAATTAAAGAGGGAGGCAATATCATGGGCACCGTTCCGATATTATATTATGACATTAATTAATGACTAACACCTAAGCTTTGTATCAAAAGGAACACACCTAATTAAGCTTTTGTATCAAAATCTTTAGTGACTTCATTTTGGAAAATGCTAGAGTCACAAACATATAGTTCACAAACTTCACAAACTTGCCTTTTGTGGATTTTAAAATAAAATATCTTTTATTATTTGAGTGCATCTTATTTCTAAAAAAGTGTTAAAAAGGTAAGTTTGTGAATTTTGTGAACTGTTTGTTTGTGATTCTAGCATTACTCATTCATTTTAGGCGGAGAGGCACAATTTTTATAGTCAACAAAATCACATGGGACGAATATAAAGTGTTTTTAAATTTGTATTTTTAATTGTTTCTTTTTTGGTGTTGTATTTTTTATCGTTTCCGTACGTAACAAATACTTCCTCCGTCCCACTTTATATTACAATATTCCCTTTTAGTTGAAATTAAGGAAAAGTCAAATCAAACTTTTTTCCCCAAATTACCCCCCAAATAGTGTGAATAGTGGCTGGCAGAAAAGAAAAGGGGAGAGTAAAAGAGTCAAATCACTATAAAGTTATTGACTTTGTAATCCTTTTTGGGACAAAAATGTGAGAGAATATTGTAATCTATTTCAGGACAGAGGAAGTATGCAATTAATTCCGTAGGGAATTATATATATTATTATATTTTTTTTGAAATGTATATCATATACTCTTGCTTTTTCTTTAAAAAAGACTATATGGTTGCTTTTTTTATATACTCTATCTATTTTGAGTTTTTTCCTTATTGTCCTATTCATAGTTTTATCTTTTTTGTTCATTCAACTATGTTTATCCTATCGTATTTAAGAGTAATACTCCGTACTATTTAAGAGTAATATTTGTATGATGATCCTCACTAAATTTTACTCTACAATTTTTGTTTGTTAATATAAATATTAGTTATATATTTCTCTTTTTCTTAATTTGCATGTAATTATTATTCATTAGCTTAAAATTAAGATAACGAAGAAAATAAACAATAACAATAATGGTCTCACAATGCTTTTTTCTGAAACCCAATAGAGTCAAGGATGTACCAATCCTCTCTTCCAAGCTTTATAAACAATGAGAGGCTCACACTAACCAATGCCTTGGCTCATTAGACGAGTGAGGTACGAATCTAACACTAAAATCATTTAATGGGGGTGGGCTTTTTCGTTGCGCCGCACACCCCACCCCCCCACAAATTGTTGTGCCGCACTCCCATTGTAGCACTAATGTCGCAAAAAAATGTCCCGCTTTAGCGCCGCTGAGCCGCACTAAAAATGCAGCATAATTTCGCGGTGGCCGGCCACTACAGCGGTCTACTGCGACGCAGTTCCGTTTTTTCTTAATTTTTTAGCCCTATAAATTCAACACAACTCCTCTTCAACTGATCACTCTCAATATACCTATTTTCTTAATTTTCTCTTCATCTCTCTCAAATCACATAAAAATGGCTCTTCCTCAAATAGATAGATGATGAGATTGTGGAGATACTAATTGCGGCGTACCATGAGTATTTGTCTTGCATCCAAGTAGAGATGCAACATGAAATCGCTCTACAAGCTGCGACTGCTACTCCTCTCATTCCACGCCCGCATGTGTACACTCTTCGGGAACTTAAGCTGCCGGGAACATGGGCAGACCGCTGGCAGTTTGTTAAAAGACTATTTTTATAATGTTTCACGTTTTTCAAATGAACACTTCCATCAACCCTTCTGAATATGTCATGTATTATTCGTTCGGATCGTAGACACACTTGCAACTCGTGATGTATATTTCCAACATCGCCCAAATGGGGTTGGCCGAGAGGGTTTATCATATCCACTATACAGAAGTGCACAATTACGATTAGACAGCTCGCACACGGCACCTGTGCTCACATGTTTGACGAATACCTCCACATTAGGAACTCTACAGGTCGAGAATTCTTGTAGCATTTTTACCGAGGTGTCACTGAAGCTTTCAAGGATACGTACTTGCGGAAGCCGACTATCCAAGACGTTTAAATGTTATTCAATATGCACGTTCCAGTGCACGGGTTTCTAGGGATGATTGGTAGTGTGGACAGTATGCATTGGGAGTAGAAAAATTGTCGTGTGGTGTGGAGGGGTGCATTCACAAGCAGTTACAAGGGCTCACATCCTACAATTGTGCTCGAGGTTGTTACCGACCAACGTTTGTGAATCTGGCATGCCTACTTCAGAGTCGCCGAATCGAACAACGATCTGAATGTGTTGAACGAGTCCCCTTTATTTAACGATGTCTCCGCTATACGTGCGCCACTCGTGCAATTCACCACCAATAGTCGCTAATATAACATGGGATATTATGGTATCTATCGATGTTGGCCATTGTATGTGAAATTAATAATCACATGTTTAACAAATTAAAAGAGGACATTGTTCGCGTAAAAACAAGAGTCCGCACGGAAAGATGTGGAACGTGCTTTCAGAGCCCTCCAATCGCGGTGGGCGGTGGTGAAAGGCCATGCACACTCGTGGTGCCGATCGTTCATCCCAGACATCATGTTTGCATGTATTATACTGCATAACATGATAGTTAAAGATGATGGGGCCAACATCACGTACTCGCTTTATTGATGAGAGGGTCACATCCACTTCTAGGGCCACCTCCCAAATTACAAGGTCTTGCAAATCGGCGTGCAAGTATGCGAGATGGACAAAACCATGCTACCCTCCAAGATGATTTGATCGAAGAAATTTATAGGCGTAACAATACTGAATTGTAGCATTAATTTTCATTCATTTCATCTCTAATTTTGATGTTTTTTTATTTGTTTTTAAATTTTAATTATATTTTGGTATATTTTGTCTTTTATTCGATGTTGTTTTTAATAAAGAATGTCAATCTTAGCATTTTTATTTTAATTATATGTATTTTGTTATTTTTTAAAAAATTGGAATAAAAAATGATTAATAATGCAAAAAATGGAGAGGCAGGTTTTTAGGGCAATAACATTGTAGGATTGTGGGGCGGAGCGGAAAAGCCCCCCATTGTTAATGCTCTAAGATCTCCGCCACAACGAGCACTGAAAATACACAGAGCTCCTTTAATTTACATATAATTAAAATAAAAATGCTAAGATTGAAGCTCAGAGCTTTAAATTTTTTCTTTCTGTCATATCATCATTAACCTCCTTTAATTTACCTCACAATTCACTAGAAATAGATTTGAGATCCCAGGGTCTCAAACCTTCATTGTTTTAATTTTTTTAATACACATTTTATAAAATTAAATTAATAAGATTTCATTAGTTAATTGAATTTAATCGAAAATAATTCATTAAATAAAAAATACATTCAATTAAAAGGAACATTAAATAAAAAATTACATTAATAAAAAACTAAGAAAAATTATATTTAGCATTGATGTCGTTGTCATCTCTCGTAATACATACGTTTGAAACCTCTTAACGTATCAAGGTTGGTTTCCATTACTTTGATCTCCTCCTTTTATGTCTTTCGTTTCTCTCTATCTTCTTCCCCAATATTGAATACTTGCATTTGTTCAACCATTGTTCAGCCGATATCGTCTCGAAATGAGACAGAACTAGACCCCTACAGAGCCCCAGGAAATTGATCTTGCCTTCTTTCTTCTGATCAGTCGTGGAATGGGGTCCTCATCATCGAAGTCGTCTAGGTTGACGGGAGGCCTTTGTTTCGACGAGCCGATAATATCATCGGTGTCAACTTCGGCGGAAGATCTTTTCTTTGACGATTCGGCCTCGATATAGTTGAATTATTGTCATTTTGGTGAATGACATAAAACTCTCCATAAATCGACGGAGACTTTGCATCAGCATCCCCTTCTTGATACCGGGCGGTGGCTTGCCGAAAACATGGGCAGTCTAAGCTTAGAGCATTTGCTTTAAAAAAAAATCTTTGAGTTTCTAGACGGGGGCGCTGATGTAAATTAACGTTTTCCCCGCCAGTTATCACAGACGCCAACTACCTGAAGCGAATTCAGCGCCAATCCGTTAGATACATCACGGCCGCACGGCTTGTTATCTTTGACTAAAAAAAGACTGGTGGCAAAAACGTCATTTCAGCTCTGCGCCCTTTTCGTGTTTTGACACTTTTGCCCTCCCAACCCGCCGTACTCTGCAGCTCCTTCCTTCTTCTTTCTACTTTCTTTGCCTCTGCCATTTTTCCACAATTTCTCAGAGCAATTAATCCCTCACTCTCTCTCTCTCTCTCTCTAGAATTCCCGTTTTCTTTTGTTTTTACCGTCGCCGGAAAAAATGGGTTCCCGGACGGCTTCACACCAGCTGAAGAATGGGCTCTACGTCTCGGGTCGACCCGAGCAGGCCAAGGAGCGGCAGCCGACCATGGCGTCGCGCGCCGTCCCTTACACCGGCGGCGATGTCAAGAAATCCGGCGAGTTGGGGAAAATGTACGGCATAGACTCATCCGGCGGGCACCATCAGGGACAGTTTGTGTCGAAGCCGCTTTCTCGGGCTCCTTCCTCTTCTCAGCAGCTCAACGGCGGTGCCGCCAGATCTAGACCGAATTCCGGCCAGCAGGGCCACAAGTCGAGCACCTCCGGCCCGATCCCCAAGAAATCGGCGTCCTTCTCTGGTCCGGCTCCCATCCAGCCCACTGGACTCATCACATCCAACTCCGGCCCGTTGGACTCAAACGGCGCCCGCTCCGTCCAGCCCGAGCTCTTGGCGTCTTTCAACAAGAAGGCCTACAGTTCGGCGGTCACCAGACTGGTCAAGGACGTGAAGCCACGTGGCGCGTTGGGGTTTCTGAACAAACACCCTGATGCCGAGCTGAGAAGCGCCATTGATGGACAGTTGGTCAAGGTCACAGGGGTAATTTCAATCATATTTATCTTCCAGATTCTAAAGAGTGTTCTTCTAACTAATTGCCCTTCAAGATCAAGACTTTCTTATCATATCATATGTGTTCTTCAATATTCACATGTTTATTACATTCCAACCCTTTTGTAGGTTGTCACTTGTGGCAGTATTCCTCTTGAAACATCCTTCCAAAGGATATCAAGATGTGTATATGTTTCCTCAGAACTGTATGAGTACAGAGGTTGGGGTGGAAAACCCGCGAATCCCACACACAAATTCTTCTCATGGGGCCGAAGGTATTCCGAGGTAGGTTTGTTATTAGTCATAGGAAGTTGCCATTGTTCTTGGAAGTTGTCACTTAGGTTGTGTTTGGTTCTATGTGAGAGGAGGATTCTAAGCTTACCTTGTTTGGGACTATATCCTAAACAATAGCAACTAGTGTAAATATGTAATGACTACATATACATATTTTCAATGGCAGAAATATGTGGCTGACTTTTACATATCAGACTTCCAGTCTGGATTAAGGGCTCTGGTGAAGGCAGGGTATGGAGCCAAGGTCGCTCCTTTCGTCAAACCATCAAGAGTTGTTGATGTAACCCAAAGCAACAGAGAGCTATCTCCGGATTTCTCGCAGTGGCTTTCTGATAGGAACCTATCCAGCGATGACCGGATTATGCGCCTCAAGGAAGGGTAAGCAACGAGTTTAACTTTCACAATATATTTGCGCTTCACAAGCTTCGCCCACAACATGCATTGTAGTTAAAATCAACACCTTTCCCCGTGAATGATCCCGCACTTTTTTGTCAAATTACTACGTAGTCCTTGAAGTTAGTGAAAACTGCAAACAAGCACCTTGAGCAGCATCTAGTAGGATTTGAGTATTTCCAGACTAAATTACTCTCAGGCTCCGTTTGGTACACGAAATTCAAATTATGAAACTGGAGACACTAATTACAATTCTGCTCTTTGGGAGCACAAAAACATGTGGATTTGAAATTAGTAGTGCCAAAAATGTATTGGGATTGGACAATTCAATCTAATCCAGATCAATTCCATATAGTTTAAATTTCTAATTCAATTCCAATTCCATCAATTCCGTGTACCAAACGGAGCCTCAGTGTTTGTACGGAAGATTCTTTTAGAGAGAATGCTTTAAAATTTGAAGTCGATGGAGTGCAGTTACAAACTACATTCAATCTGAAGATGCACACCCTCTTCTATTTTATTATGTAACCTTAGAGTGTGAAAAAAGGCCATTTGTGAAAAATCTAACTACTTCAAGGGCTTGTTTGTAAGGTTTAGAAACCTCGAGGATCATTTTGTTACATTAGCATTTAGCTTGTATAAGTGTGTTTTTTTGTGCTTTGGGTCTTGGAAACAACATGTTCACTTCTAATTAGGAGTAAGTTCTGTGTATACACACCCTCCCCAGACCCTACTTTTTGTGGGATTTTACTTGGCTTGTTTTCCTTATTTCCCAAGGTATAAAAAACCAAGCATGAAAAACTAGAACCAGTCCATTGGCATTTTCTTAATTCCAAACACGGCCTTACTGATTGAATGACTTCTCATTAACAAACACACAGTTACATCAAGGAAGGCAGCACTGTGAGTGTGGTGGGTGTCGTGAGACGCCACGCGAATGTGCTAATGATTGTTCCACCAAGCGAACCGGTTTCAACAGGTTGTCAATGGCCTCTGTGTCTTCCCCCAACCAATGTCGGCGCTCTGATCTTGTCCTGTGACGAAACCCAGAACTCTGATGTTATTCCTGTCTAGATTTTTAGCCGCAAACTCCAAATCTGATCATTTAATTGCAGCATTGCCAAACATGACTCATGTGGCCTGAAGAAGGGAGTGAGTGGCCTGAAGAACCTGATGATGTATTGTGTTAAGGTTGAGTTAAAACTCTTGTATCATAATAGTTCCCCCACCCCCCCCCCCCCCCAAGGAGGTAAAAAACAGTAGTGTTCCTCCCTTGAGTATGTAAATTACCCTGTCTGCCCTTTGAACAGCAATTCATCAAGCTATAATATATTCTTTGTAACATTTATCTTTCCTTCATTTCCAATTTATAAGAAGCAAAACCCTCTATTTCCAAGTAGGGGTAAAATGTGTGTACATTCACCCTCGGACCCTGTTTTTGCGGGATTCTATTGAGTTTATTGTTTTGTTGTTGTGGAAGTTATATGTGTGATATTCTACAATGAAGTGCTTACTACCTACTGGTAATAAGTTTTTTTTACACCAATATAATTTTTACTTTGTTAACATATCACAATTATTGGCACTTAATGTTGAAGGGTTAAACAAACAAAACATGGTTAATGATCACAATTTGTCTATGCAGAAAGATGAAAAGGACAGACAAAAATCTCAAAATTTCTCCCATCACAGCCACTCTGTCACTACAAATTTTTTTCACATTCATTAGTAACGTTTGCACCATGCCAAATTTCCCACATTGCAAATTTGAAATCTCCATTAAGAATTCATCAAACTGTGAAATGAAATTTTATCCAATGTTCATGAAGTAAAACTATTTTGAAGAAATATTGAAGACTTATTTTAAAAGCAGAGGATGAATTCTGTGATTTTCGTCCCTGGGTCACTTAGTAACAGTCCAATTGTTACCTTAATTGAATTATACTCCGTACTTTGTAATTTTGAAATGACTAATAAGGATGGAGATTTATCTTAGATTTTTTAAAAGCCTTGTTTTGAAGGTAAATATTTATAATAGAAGCCAAAAGAGAGTGGTAACAGAGAGTGAAAAATCGGCTTGGTTTCGTAGCCACCTGGCAAAGGTTCCATTAGCAGTGTCACTAGCTAACACATCCGTTACTCCTTTCACAAAATTGATGGTTCCTACAGTCTAACCCTCTTAAACCCTTCATTCCAGCCTCCAACCCCACACCTGGCACCTTCCAATCGTGTGGTCATTATGCATTGCATAATGACCACACATTTGGAAGGGAGTGTGGGATGGGGTAGGGGTAAGGGCGAGAATGGGACTGGAGTGAGAGTAGAAACCATAAATTTTGTGAATGAAACACCGAAGATAAAACTGACCCGGTATAAAATACCATGGAGGAAGTAAAGTCTAATGAAATCCTAACCCTTTTTAGTTATTACCTACTGCAATATGCTGTATGCATCTGAATTTGTACTTCCAAAGTTATTATTGCATGAAAGATGCATATAACTGCCACATGGTTTGATACAATGGTAATCCCTCCCTTTTCAAATAATCTTATTTCTTTCCTTGTTAGTTGCTTCAAAATAATCTTCACTTTGTCTAAAATGAGTGAATCATGTAGCCCAAAAAAATTGCTCTCCTTTCATCAAGTTCTAACTTCATTTTTTCATTTTAACACATTTCTTAAATTTTGTGAAAATTTATACTTCCTCCATCTTAAGAAAAGGTTTTACATTTGATTAGACATGAAGATTAAAGAAAAAAAGTACATAGTAAAAAGTGATGCATAAGATGAAGAAATTATAAAGACCGCAGTTTAAAAAAAGTAGAAAATGAAACCTTTTTGGAGGCAAAGAAAAAAAGAAAATGTAGAACCTTTTTATACACGAAGGAAACACTCTGTAATTTTTACTCTTGCTTTAAAAAAAATACTCACTCTGTTACGTAAAACTTTTTTATTTGAATTTAACAAAATTTAAAAATGGTGTACTTAGAGTTTAATACTTCATTGGTCTCATAATAATGTTTCGCAATTGACCGAGCTCATATTTTATATAACCAGATGTACCTAGATCTAAGTACATCTAGTAAAAATTTATTTTGAAGTATCACAATGTTCATTTTGTATACTCTCTCTGTCCCAAAATTATCATCATAGTTTGACTTTTGTGGTTACTTTGACCACAAGTCAAAGTAATTTTTTCCAAAATTATCGTCTTAGTTTGACTTTGGCCTTAATTTACCTTTCTAAATATTAAATGCATGGACTTTTCAAATTCCCCAAAACGAAAGAATGCAACATCATTTCATTTTTTAGTACTAGATACCGGCTTTAATTGAAATATTTACGATGTTCTGTTTATAAAATTGATAGTTTTTACTCCCTAGTCCTCTTGATAAATCTTCTACTCTGACCTAGCTTGAACCCACTTCTAACTCTTCATTTTCATCTTAAATCTTGGTTAAATTTTTTGACCTTAAAGTCAACCAAATTTTGTAGTAACGTGACACTGTATATGTGTATTTTACTATATTTTTTTGACAATGTAAATACATTTTAATTATTATTTCAAGAATAAAAATGTTTTGTTATTTTTTGCATTTTATTCTTTACTCCAATATATTTTCTTAATAGACGGGTTCACAGACAATTATATGAATTGAGATTTGAGAAGAGAAATGCTAGATTCACAAACAAAATAGTCACAAACTTACTATTTGTAAACTTCAATAAAAAAATTTAAATTGTCTAGAATAATTTTAAAATAAAAATTTAAATCATAAACGGAATGTTTTTGAAGTTTGTGATAATTGTGTTTGTGTTTGTTCAATTAAGATTTACTCCTTACTACTTAAGAACATAAAATCTGCCTCCACTTCCTCCGTAGTCCGATCTTCACGCCAGCAGCAAGATTGCGCCCAAGCCTTCTTGTTTGGCGCTTCCGCCACAGTAGCAGCCCGATTGAGCGCGGAATCTTCTCAGCATCGCAGCAAGATCGACGAATTGTCGGAATCGTCGCAACTTTGAAGGTACTCGCGTAGAATCCCCTCCCAGTTTGAGATTTTGATTTCGAGCTTCTTTCTGCCAAACTAATCTCGACCCACGTTATACACAATGGATCTTTCGCTAATTTCGTTTCTGATGATTTCTGTTTATTCAATCCTTATCGTTTCTCACTTTCCCCTAATTTAGTCTGAGTACAATAATTTGAATGGATTAATTCTCTGTATCTGAGTACCTGCTTTTAAGGTTAACGACATCGCTACTTTTTTGTCGTGATTGATTTTTAATTTAGTATGAATGTGTATTTCTGAGTGTTAAATACCTGCTTTTACTTGAACCAAGCATGAAAGCTTTAAGTTTTGCTAGTTAATGAAACTAAGAAATTGGATTTCAGCTATAAGGCTACTGTTTTAGCTAAAAAAATGGTGTTTGATAGTTGATTTTAATGATTAATACTTTTATTAGATTGGGTAATCAGCAGTGCACATTCAGTTGTTTAATCTAAACCCCAAACTGACAGTTTTGTTAACCCAAGGGTGTTGTCGCCGTGGTTAACAGGGGCACATAAATCATCTAGTTGGTACTTAAGTGGCCCAAAACCGTTTTCTCCATGCTAGGGGTCATATCTTTTTTTTTTTTTTTTGGAAATTAGATGGGAAGTGATTGAGCAAGATCTTTTATTGTAGTTTTTTGTTTTAAGACATTAGATGGAATGCCAAGACAAAAATTGCTTAAGCACAATTCAAGATTGTACCATTTTAACCTTATGGTGCAGTTACTGCATTTGTTTGATGTAAAGGAGAATAGATGTATATAAGTGGATTTGAAGAAAAAGAAACATAAAGAGTTGAAGCTTACTTGTAGTTACATGGAAATTAACCACAGAACTTTTTTGTGTATTCGTAATATTCTCAGGTATGCATGTTTATATTCTCTTGGGCCTTAGTCATGACTTAACTTTTAGTACATATTGTGAGTAAGTGTACATTTTTGTATTGTTGCATGTCTGTTTTCCCATTACTGACATCATATGCTTATTTTCACGAATATTCTGGTGTCAATGAATTACTTTTCGCACAATGTGTGTCTTCTCTTTATCAATGTTGTTTTTATGTATGCATTTTGGCTAGTAACTCTTTTTAAAATGTTATTTTCCTGGAATGTTTTTGACAGTAAAGCCATGGAATTCATTCAAGCAAGAGATTGTCAAGCTGCACTTCATGAAATTGAACTTTTGTGATTGATGTTGAATGTTTGAGAATCAAGTGGAATCGAGATATTTCAACTTTAGGTGGCCTTTTCTTGTGAGTGAACTGAGTTAAGATAATTCATACTTGTGGAATTCAATCATATATAACTAAATGATGCTTAAAGCAAATTCAATAGTCACTTCAAACTTCCCTCCTACTGTACACCCACCTCAATTTGCGTTAACATCGCAGTCAATGTCATGTTGTCCTCCAAGATTACCAACGTCGAGAAGATTCAAGAACAACAGGTTACAAACTAGAGTCTTTACCCAATCACCGACCCGTGCAGTCCTCTCTGACCCATATGTCGTTCAACTTGCAGAGACTCTTGAAGATTCACTAGAATCATCATCATCATCATCATCATCCCTTCTGCAGCAACTTAGAGACATTTCCTCCCAATCCCTTCTCTCCACCTCATGGCCTTCACGCAAGGATGAAGCTTTTAGGTTTACAGACACTTCTTTTATTAGGAACTCTAATATTGAACCAGTATCACTTTCCTCTGAGTTGCTGCAGTTTTTACCAGTTTCCAGTGATACTCTTTCTCCATTAAGCGTTACAGTAATTGATGGATACATGGTAAACTCTTTGTCCCAGTTATCTGTATTGCCCGATGGTGCATTTGTTGGGTGTCTGTCAAGCATCACTTCAGAGGCTACAATTAAAAGGGTATCTGAATATATCTCCAATTCCCAGGGCGGGGATTTGTTTTGGTCCATTAATGGAATGGGTGCCCCTGACATGCTTGTTGTATATGTGCCCGAAGGGTGTAAAGTTGAGAGTCCACTCCATTTGAAGTACTTTTCACTGAAAGGAAGTGAAAAAGATTCTAAAGTTTTACCCATTTCGAACCCGAGGGTGTTGATTTTAGTGGAGAAGGGTGGTGAGCTTGGTATAGTGGAGGAGTACACCAGTCTTGACGGGAGTGACAAATGCTATTGGGCTAATTCAGTGATGGAA